TGTGTACATATGTAAAAATTATGATTCAAATATAACCAATTATAACATTAGACTTTAAAAGATACATCTATTTGTAGAATGATGATTCAAAATGTTATGATGCTTAATTGTATCTACGTGACTTAAAGCTATACGATTCAAATATTTTGTGATTCAAAACGATATCATTCAAAAATATTATATCCTTAATATGTTATGATCTAAAAATGTTATGAATAAAAATTAATATGATTGGGAGTCACAACTGAATCATAGATTAATGATCATATAATCTAAAATTATATGATTCAAAATGTTGTGATTTGAAAATGTCACAATCCAATTGTTACAAATCAATAAATATAATGATTCCATTTGAACAGTTTATGAGTAAAGTAGTTTCATGATCCAAACATATTGTGATCTAATGCTACTAACAAGGTGGTAAACAAACCAATGATATAAAATAGTATAAACATGTTATGATCAAAACCCAAATTGTATAAAAGTCCATGATATGATCTAGTCGACTTATTCCCACTATATTTTGTTTCAAACATGTTATGATCATAAATAATATATTGCTCTAAATACAGACATCATAAATATAACATAAACAAATTGCAACAATATTATATGTTTGTGGTGTGTTGGTATATTTGACTAATCAAATACTAACTAATTTTTCCAATATAAGTTTCTTGTTTACTTAATAGATGTGCACAACCGTTTCTTTTAAAGCTTGGTATTTATCCATTTCGATGTCTTTTATATTTATCCACTTTTCTTTTTGTTGATCTTCTTTCTTATACAGACACCCAAAAGCCCACAATTCTCTAATTCTTTCATCCATACATCTTTTTGATTTCAAAAATTTGTGTGACGAAAAAGAACGGAAATGAAAAAACCACTCAGTTACATCTCTTAAAAACATAAATATAAACAATCTATGTGTGGAAATCACCACAAAATTCTAGAAAATTTTTGCAATTGTCTTATAACCGTTATAACGAACACCTTGAGTGTTTCAACAAAGTTGGGGTTCCAATTGAGTTTTATGTTTCAAACATGTAATAACTATAATTATATCAAAGTAAGGAGATGACAGCAAGAAAAAACTAAAAAAATGAAATACCTTAAAAAACCTTTAAGTTGAGCACCTTCGAACGGGGACAAACGTAGATAACCTACAATTTAGAACATGACAATTTGAAAACCTTGAGAAACCTTGCACTTGTAAATCTCTTTGATGAACCCTAAGAGTAAGAATATACCATCAATCATATTTATGGCATGCAATTTCAAAAGAACCGGCTAGAACACCATAAGGAGGCCACTACAAACAACCTTATATATAAATTTAGAAACCACCATGCACACATTTTTCAATAAAAAAACATAAATCATAGAGCAATTTGAACCACCAAATCATCTATAAGACCACAAACAACACCATGAAACTTGTAAATATGCACACCATTAAAAAAAAAACACACCCTAAAATACATCTACTAAATGCAAAATTGAACCGGGCTAGATGGACACAATTAAATAAAACTGTGAACTCTTTTAGGCATTTTATCAAACCCTTATATGACATCATTAAACATAAGTTAGATCACTTTTTTATCATTTAATTTTTCGCACATAACTTGTTCACAAATATATATATATATATAATATATATATATATATATATATAATATATATATTATATATATATATATATATATATATATATATATATATATATATATATATATATATATATATATATATATTATATATATATAAGGTTAGGTTCATTTAAGACCACTTATATTTTGTAAGACCGTGAGATGCAATTTTTTTATTTTTTTTATTTTTATTTTTATTTTATTTTTTTTTAATTAATTCAAGTTCCGAAAATAATATTTAAAAAAAGAATTTTTAGATTTTTCCATTTATTTTGTATTTTAAAATTATTTTTTAGAATATGTACAGTGTAATATTCTATTAGAATATTTCACGTATTTAAAAAAAATGATATTTTTTTATTTTTTTTTAGTTAATTCAAGTTCCGAAAATAATATTTACAAAAAGAATTTTTATATTTTTCTATTTATTTTGCATTTTAAAATTATTTTTTAGAATATATCAGTGTAATATTCTGTTAGAATATTTCAAGTATTTTTCAAAAAAAACGGGATTCTTTTCTTTTTTTAAGTTAAATCAAGTTCCGAAAATATTATTTAAAATTTTTTTTTTTAGATTATTCATTTATTTTGCAGTTTAAAATTATTTTTAGATTTGGTTTTACGGTCTCACAAAATTAGAATAGTTTCAAATGAACCTGAACATATATATATATATATTATATATATATATATTATATATATATATATATATATATATATATATATATATATATATATATATATATATATAGGGGAGGGTTCAATTGAGAAAAAAAAAGTTGAGAATGGGGGAATCATTCTCAGCCAATCATTTATTTTTGCCGCAAAAGGCTCCAACGTACCGGTGGAAATTGGAAACGAATGCACATGTGTTTTCCAACATAATATATTTCCTTAAACTATGCTAATCATTGCCTTAATATATACAAAAACATAGTTTTTTTCGTTTTTTTTTTTAAATTTTTATAAGCTATTTTTATCAAAAAATGATTTTAAATATACCAAAATTCATGATTTTTTATTCTCTACAAATAGACATTCATATTGATATAGTTTTAAGATAAAATAAAAAAAAAAATTATATTTTCAGCTATCGTTATTCATAAATGAATAACAATGCATTAGGTTTTATTACAGTACATTAGTTATTCACTTATGAATAAAAAGTATAATTTTTTTTTACAATTTAAGTATCGTTCATATATGAATATAACATATAATAAACATAGTATATTAATATTTTAATATTGGACGATGAATTCACTTGTGAATATTAACATAGTATATTCACTTGTGAATATTAGATGGTATATTCACTTATGAGTATTAAATGATATTTCATATGTGAATATTATATAGTATTACATGGTATATCACATGTGAATATTACAGAGTATATTCACTTGTGAATATTAGATGATATATTCACTTATGAATATTACACAGTATATTCACATATGAATATTACAAGGTATATTCACTTATGAATATTGAAAGTATTTTGACAAATATATATAATTTTTATATGTTATTCACATATGAATAACATACAAACTTGCATATTTGTTTTGTGTTTTTAATAATCATATATTGATTCAGGTGAGAAAAACATATTCATATGTGAATATAACGTGGTAATTTAGTTTATGCATTTCATCAAACAGTTAGAGTGCAAACAAGTTAACTATTTTAAAAATGTTAAAAACATCAAGTTATCAATTCCAAATCATCATATACTTCCGATTTTGACTTCAGATGCGACATCCTATCTCTGATCGATTTCTCAATTTGTTTTGATTTCCGAAAATCCGATTGGGAACCTGTGAGTACCGATTCTAAGTCCATCAATGTCGACTGTGATTGCGAGTCTAGAACTCCAATTCCAATTTCATGAACAGCGAATAAATTCTGGTTTAGTTGAAAAAATCTGGATGATTATTGAAGGTTGGAGGAAAAATTTTGATGATGAACGAGCAATTATCGAATTCTCTATAGTTACGTATTTGAGATTGAAGGTTATTACGATATTTATAAGTTTGCCACCGTGTCTTTTATGCTTAGATTAAATGAGTGGCTGAGAATGATTTTTTCTCATTCTCAACCTTTTTTATTTTCTCAATTGAACCTATATATATATATATATATATATATATATATATATATATATATATATATATATATATATAAAAGAAAACGGATATACATGAGGATAAAAGTATTTTTAATTGTTTTTCTTGGGGAAAATGTTGATAAAGGTCTTGGTTAGATTAGGAAGGATATGATGGGATAGTTACAGATGGTTGTACAATGCGCAGAGGTATTAGTACGTTAAGGGAAAGAGCATCTTTGAGGGGGAGGGACAGGTGTCCCACAATTAACGGTTACGGGAAGTACTTGAAGGTTAAATGTTGGGGCAGTTCTGTTGGTGTTGGTGTCAGACTAAATATGAAGTACATGTTTGTACTTTGCGCTTTCATTGTTTTTCACACTTCTCCCCCTTCCCCAGCTGTTCCTTAGCTGTTCCTTCTTTGACCTCAGTCAACGGTCAACTTTACCCACTTCCCTCCAATCTCCTTTTTCCTTAAATAATTAAAAATACACATTTATTTTTAATCTCATAACAGAATCTATTAAAAGTATTTTATTAATAATTAGATACTTAGTATATTCTTAAAACATAAAATAAGAAACTGTATTTGCTGTTTAACTTCAAAAATCAACACCTCTAATATATTTTAGATAAAAAATACGGCATGCTATTGCTATATATATAAATGTATTTACTAAAAATATATTAGTTTCAATACAAATATTTTTATTCATATAAGAATATGACTACAAAGAAAAGATGTTTGCTTTAGATAACCAAATTTGATTTAATTTAAAAAATGCAGTCTCTTACATGAAATATCAGTTAGAATATTTTGTAACCTTGAACCAATGAAAAGTTAATATTTTTTCTAACGTTGTTTTTAATCAACTTTTAGTGGAAGCTGTTTACTTTTAAGGTATCTAAATAAATAATTATTATAGTTTTTTACATGAATATTAGTTAGAATATTTTGTAACATCGAACCAATGAAAAATTAATTTTTTTTTTCTAACGTTGTTTTTAATCAAACTTTTAGTAGAAGCTTTTAACTTTTAAGGTATCTAAATAAATAATTATTATAGTTTTTTACAAGATGCCAACAATACATTTCTTATTTTGTTAACAATAAATTTATTCTACTAATAAATTTAAATATATATATCCTTGAACAATTTTTTTTTGTTATTTTTTGAATTTACTTAAGTGGAAAAAACCCGAAAGTGACCTTATAAAGGTGTAAAACGTATGAAATACTCACATGTTTAACCAAGGGAAAACATTATGACAATTTGACAAATTCAACATTCATGAAAGGTAGAGATCTCGGTAGGGGCAATAATGGAATTTCAAATTCTAAAGCAGGAATTAATGTTGGTAGCTAGGAAGAGGGTGGTGGGGATGTTTTGGGTATTAATTGTTTGATACCCAAAAGACAAGAGCAAAAAAAGGAGAATCTTGTGAAAGAGATTGACGTTGAAGTCAAATTGACTGTTAGAGATCCATTTATCCCACTACCAAAATTACAATTTTGCCCTCCACCCATCCAACTTCATGCAAACTCCATCATCAAACACAAACTTCTATGGTGATTTTCACATCCAAAATCCCTAAATTACCCTCAATCATCTACCTAAAATTACAAGAATAACCCCCCACCCTCCAATAAAAAATCACCCCCACCTTTACATCACTCGTACTCATTGCATCCTAAATTCCATGTCCCGGCAATTACTTGATCCTCCTCCTTGAGTCATCATTTCCTGAAATTAAAATTTCAAAAATGAATGACATCTTATATACATACATGTACACAACAAAAAATAACAATATTTACTATTTCATTGGTTATAAAATAAGTCTTAAATATATCAACAAATTTGGATGGAATATTAAAAGATACAATTTCATTATGAGATCTTGTATATTTGCTAAATCTTTTTCAAGTATGTCCCAAATAAAATCTAATGTTCGGATTTTATGAGACATATCAAGATTTTGTGATGGTATTGTAAGATTTAAAAATATTTGTTAGCTTTCGTTAGTTTTCTAACATTATAGTAACCAAGGAACAAAAAATCTTGAAATTTGAAACTAATAAAAATAAATTAAACTTAAGTACCTGTGAAGACTTGGAAGCATGAACGTCATCTTGACCCGAAACAGACCCAGACCCGGATCCGTCGTTCTTATCGGATCTTTTCGACCCAATGTGAGATTTCCGAAGACCCAAAAACCCTTTCCACCGTGTACCACTAGAAGCCTTCGGCGGCCTAAACAAACTACTGCCGCCGCCGCCACCACCTCCGTTGCAGTCTTCATCTTCTCCGGCAAGGAGCTCGTCACGAAGAGTGGTTTTCTGTCCGATACCGGATCCGGCGGCACTATCCTTGAAAGGCAACAACCGACCCTTGAAGAAAAGCTCATCAGCTGGCATCATGGAGTTGTTAGAAACGGAAAACTCGAAGTCGGAGGAAACCGGAGCGGAGTAGTCTCTGGCGGACTTGAGGATCTGGGGACGAGAATGGAGAGATTCAGCGAAGTCGTGGGAGAAGGAAATACGGGGGCTGATGGGTGGATTAATGGAGGATTTAGGGTGGTCGGAGCTTTGTTGATGATGATGATTATACATGATGATAATGATATTGTCTAAACATGCCATGAACATGAAGGAAGCGGCATAAGAGGAAGTAGAATGGGAGGAGGAGGAAGACGACAAAAGAAGTCTGAACTCTGAATCACTGTTGCAAGAAGATGAGGTTGTATTTATATATGTGGGGATGGTGGATTTCTGGGGGGAAAATTTATCGACCTCAAATTTGAATCAATCAAATTATTTCATTCCACCCTGATATTGTTATCATTATTATTCTAAATTGGAGGTGGTATAGATAACTTTTGGATCTTTTCAATACATGGAGTTTCTATAAATTTGTTATTTTTTATAATCAATAATAATAATAATAATAATAATAATAATAATAATAATAATGTTAGGTAGAAATAGATGAATAATTAGGCTATTAGAAGCGGAAAGCAAACCAAGTATTGGTTTCCTATGTGTCACACATATGACACATTAACCCTTCAGAGAACACAGCCTCGTGCCGATGGTTTGGGTGCGATGTGGTTTCTAATGGTGGTGAAAACCGAAAAAACATGCATTTTGATTGGTTCTTCATTTTTCTATCACATTTTCTCTCATTATCTCTTCTTTTTTTTTGCCCTTTCACTACCAACCCACCAGTAAACCCCATTCTTACATGGGTTAGTTGTGGAATGATAAAATACCTACGTGGCGATGAGTTGGCTGGTAGTTTGGCTGTGACCACTCCCCAAGCCTAAGGTTATCTTTGTTATACAATAAATTATTTTCCTTCATCGATTTCGATAAAAGCTTGTAAGTTTATTTTTGTATGTTTAACTGATATTAAGGTTCTAAATAATGTAAGACATGGTTTGACGGCAAAGTAAAAGTTAAGTCATAGCAAGCCTTGGCGAGTCATGACGTGTTTCAAGGCGTAACTATATTATATACACTAAAAGATATAAATTATATAATTATTGAAATTTATCAAATATATGAAGTTTTTAAAAGTATTATATTTATATATAATAGAAAAAAAAAGTTAATAAAAGCGTATTTATTTTATGCCCAATAAAAAAACAAAAAAACTAACGCCTTGAAAAAAATTCGCGTCATAATACGATAAGGTGCGCTTTGACGCGTTATTTGTGCGTCACGCTTAATAAACTCGTCTTCGATGTTTTTGTAAATGCTACACCACGTCTCGCATCATGGCACGTCTTGAGGCGCGCTATGATACACTTTTTAGAACCATGACTGATATTGATAACCATCTTAAATAAATTTCTCTTTTTCTTAAATAAATTTTTACAAGGCACTTTACTTTTATAAACAATAAAAATTATAATATAATCATTATGTTTTATCAATGCTTATATTAAATTAGTATATATAAATATTAATTTTATTTTATTTATGTTAGTTAAATTACATAAATTTTGTCAATTATTTTATTATTATTTTTTATAACGTATATATTAATTTATTATTCTCCAAAAATTAGGTTATATATTTAGGTTGGTAGGTACATCACAAATCACACACTGCAGTTGTTGATTTGGCGACACAGCGAACATAGCACCAACCCCTACCTTTGGACTGCGGTGAGGATGTTGCGGGAAGTAAATACGTTGCACCTCATAGTTCACTCTTTTTACCATTGAGCCTTTAACTACTATTTCTCATTTATTTTTTTAAACACTATAAGCATAACCCTTCTCTTCTCATTTTACAACATAAGAAAACACCAAAGCACTTTATATAAAACTTTCTTTTTTGTTTTAAAAATGTCTTCATCATCATTTTCAACTTCATCGGATACATTGGCGTTGCGGAAAACAGGGTCTATTGGAGACGTTATGCGAATAACATTGACATATCTACAAGAAAATGAAGCCGAAAGTTCGCAACCAAAACTTAGAAATCCTCCTTTACGGAGAAATCATGAAGACGATGATGAGTCGGAAATGTTTTAAGGAGATTTGCGCGATGATTATGATGATGTGGCTAGTGATGATGATTATATCATGTTTTTTTCATTGTTTTGAGTATGTTTTTTAATGTAGTGTGTAATTTTTTTAATTAACTAAGTATTTTATTTTTTTATTTTTTATACAATTATAAATTAGTAAATCATATTTTATTCACTTAAAAAAGAAAAATTAAAAAATATATGGTAATGTGTGATATGGTACCCACCAATCTTGTTGGGTGAGTGGATGTGCAATCTTATTTTGACTTCATTTAGTCATTAAAGATAATTTATCTCAAGAGTCGTTGTTGAATGGCATTATGTCTTTGACAAATATGTATAGACTCACCATTATTTACATCACTATGTACATATATAAGGGTTACTAGCTCATCACGGGACCTCTCCCAAGAACTTACAAAGCCCTTTAGTTCATTGTCCAACTTTGGATACGTTTGGAAATTTGTTCTCCTATATTTTCCAACAAATGTTGACCATTATCAATATGCTTATTACTATATCATAGTTACCACTATTGAATATGCATAATTGTCTCAACATGATACTATAAACATACGTACTACATGTATATGTGAATTCACAATAACATTGGTCAGATGTGATTATAAATATTACATACATGAGTTTTCTTGCAAATATCGTATTTTTCCATGCATATTCTTGTTTTAACCATCTACATGTTAAATTCTTTTAGGCGTCGTATCTCAAGGATCATACTATGTCGTAAAATAGAATAGCACTTTAAAGTACCATTTATATGGATATATTTCATCACATCCACTGATATTGAATAACATATTAAAACTATTGATACCCATTGTTCCAAAGCTTGCTTTAATCATATAATGACTTTACTACTCATACATTTTGTTGCTTTCCCTCGGGTAAGATAATTGCTTGGTAGTTCCATGTACATTTATGCTTGTAAAACTATGTTTAGAAGTTTTAGTTTCATATAAGAACGATATGCTTCCAAGTTTTTAAGAAGTTACAATCACCTATAATTATAAGAACATACAAATGAAATTAATCAAGACATTCTTATGTTTGTAATCCAAATATATATATTTCAAACATGTCATCATTTATTACTTCTCATATGGAAACCCACTAAACCGTAGTGGTTTCCCAAACTCAATGGTTTAAATGATAGAACCATGCATTAATTCCACACGGACAACTCGACTCTACTCGACGATTTGGACTCACAACTCGTCGAGTCGCTCCATAAATCTCAAAATTACTCACACAATAATATACCTGAAAGTCTGGATGTTACATTAAAAATCTATATTTGAACAATTATGAAACTTGATTTCTGATGCAGAAATTCTAAAACTTGACTTCTCATGCAGAAAACTAATGCATAAATTACGATATCATAAAATCTGATGTTTTCTTTCAACAAAACTATTTAAAATGTGATGCTTTTAAGTAAAACCAAGCTTCTTTTTCAGTTTTCCAGGTTGTTTTTCGGAAATACCAAGTTGCTTTCTGATTTTCGAAACTGTTTTACATAAAATTGAAGTTGTTTTTACTAAACAAAGCCTTTTTGTTTTTCGCAAAACAATGTAGTATGTTCAAGACTACTTTAGCCCCACTTAAACTTGTCAAAAATGTAAACCAAGTTCATAATCCAATAGCTCTGTCTCTCAGCTTTATAGGGACTACTTTCACAAGTTCATACAAGTTTTCTACAATTTATTATGAATTTTACAAAACTATGTATCATAATTGCTAAAAACCTAACCAGTCACTGAAAATCATATTTTTCACCATAGTTATATTTGTTTCCAACTTTCGGAAAAAGTTAATGAAATGAAGTAGACTCATATAAAAAACTTTGAGAATTGGTTTCAACAAAAATTAAGCATCCATGGCAAAGTTATGATTATTCAAAGATTGGGACACATTAGAGCATTTCACAACAACACGCAAATTGTGTTTTTGAGTTAAGCTAGTTTCTTAATCCATTAGGTATTTCATGGAATCAGTACTGAAGTTGGAAATTTTGTTATCTAATTAAGAAAAACATATCTTAATGAATTAATGACCAAAGGTGCTTCAAAATCACAAAACAGTCCATTTTTTCTTATGAAAAGCGTACAATATAAACATAATGCAAGTAAAATTCTTTTTTATTTCTAGTTCGATTCATACAAACGAATTTTGTTTTAAGATTGTAGGAAAGTTATTGTGGTAAGTACGAAAACAAACAAGAAAATATAAAAACTGAGGCATGTCTTTAACACATTATCCTTAAAACAAATCTACCCGCTATCGGGTGTTCGTTTCCCAGGATACAACAGTTTCAAGTGATTCTTCTAGACCACCCGAACCCTCAATATTCCTAGATTTTACCTTCGATATAACAAGAAAATGAAGAAGACAAAAATAAAGAAGAAAATATTTTGGTTGCAGTCTTGGTGTGTCTCAAATGGTTGATGAATGATTATATTTACACTACAAGCCATAACCAACATACAATTAAATTATCACTAAACATAATTCGTAACCGATATTATATTTAATATTGTTCTAAATTACAAGTTGCAACCGAAAATTGAACATCAATTTTCGATTATACACCATTCAACTCCTTAACTCTGGTGATTACTTTCAATTCACCAGTTATTTTCCTAACAATGTTCAGCTCAAGCTGGATTGATGCGTTGGATTTAACCCTATAACGACCCGTTCCCGGTATGTTAATTCATTAATAATTGTTTTAAAGTTTTGCAAGAGGGACTCGGCGAGTTCATAGCCTGACTCGCCGAGTAGGGTCGCGACTTCGAGCACGTGTTAGCTGGAGACTCGGCGAGTCCATATCCCGGACTCGGCGAGTCCATCCGTCTGGGTGAAACCCTAAATCCCCGGGTTGCCCACTATTTAAGTCACCTAATAGCCCCTATTCTCGCCTCCTTCACCCTCTAAAGCTGTGAGAAAACCCTAGTTCATCCTTGAGAGTTTGTAAGTGATTTTGTGAAGGCTTGAAGAAGGAGAAGAAGAAAGGAGCAAGGAGAAGAGGTGGAGTGCCAAGATCCAAGGGCAAATCTGAGTTATTTGAGGTATTTTCGGATTTCCCCTCTTGTTTTATGCTTTAAACCTCCATTAGAACTCTTCTAAGAACTAGTTGATGCTTGTTCCAAGCCTTGTGCTTTCATGAACGCCCTAATAAGCCGAGATAACCTTGGATCTATTCATTGAGAAGTCCCATAGTCCAGATCTATTGCCTTTATG